CATAGAAGTGCATTTATTTTTGTAAATATAAACCGCTAAATACCTTTTCTCATCAGCAGTTAGAGCAGTTTTGTGAATTTTATCAGTGTCCAGCAGAGCACATGTTAAAGCATGTAGGAGGAGTTTTCTTTCTCTGCTCTAGGAGGATGTAGAACCCCTGACCTCTGTCTGGACAGTGCTGATTGGCCCTGTGCTGATCACATGCACTTTCCTAAGAAAAAAAAACCTCTCTAGCAATACACGCCAAACTGAGCGTGTGCAGAGTGTCTCCACATAATATGTCTTATCAAGAGATAAGAGGGAGACACTGATAGAAGGGGGATCAGAGAAGTCAGGATCAAACAGCATTTTTAAACAATGCAGAGGATTTACCCCATAGGTTACACAGTGAGTATAACAAGCATGCTTTACTGCGTGATTTTACTGTTGTGAGTTTAGCAACACTTTAAGCTCTGGAAGGTTTTACCCCCTTCATGACCAGGCCATTTGTTTGCTATTCGGCACTGCGTTTATTTAACTGGTAATTGTTTGGTCATACATCGCTGTGCCCAAATGAAATTTATATACTTTTTTCACACAAATAGAGCTTTCTTTTGGTGATACTTGATCACCACTGGTTTTTTATTATATAAATCTAAAAAAAGACCACCAGTTTTGAAAAAAAACAACATTTTGTCATTTCTGGTATAAAACATATACAATAAAAACATTTTAAAAATCTAATCTCTTCACACATTTAGGCCAAAATGTATTCTACATGTCTTAGCAACCTAAATCTCAATAAGTGTATATTAATTGGTTTGTGTGAAAGTTATAGTGTCCACAAACTATTGAAAATATTTGACTTGAAAATTGATCAATTCTGATGTACTGATGATTTCATTTCTTGAGACCCTTAAAATGACCCTTTTTGGATAGTAGACAGTCCAATGTATGTATTAAGAGGCATGGGGAGTTTTTGTTTTTTTATAAACATTTTTTGGAAAATGAAGAAATTAAATGAAATGTTTTTCACATTTTGTTTTTACATACTGTCAACAGTGCAGTACATCATATGACTGGCATGGTGGTGATCAGGGACACTGACTAATAACAGTATATAAAAAGGAAAAAACTAGAAAAAAAAATCATTTTTTTTTTTTCAATATTTTAATTTTTTTTCTTTTTTAAACATTTCTTTCTTTTTCTTTACTATTTTTTTTTTACCATACTTTCATCAGAGTAGTTCAGTGTTACCATAGTAATTTTAGGGTTTGTTTTAACAACGTGATTGCTGTTACAATGCAGTTCACTGTAACAGCAATGTTTTGCACCGTCATGAATGGCTTACATTCATAACAGCTGTGATTACTAGTGATCTGTTATTGGCTACAGTTAATCACATGATACAGGGTGCTATGATTAGTCATAGCTACCATGTGATAGCTGTGGGCCAATCACAGCTCACTACAGGAAAGATAGCAGTTATTAATTAAATTAATTCATAACAGCTTTGTTGACATTGTGATCATATACCGGTAACCACAATCCTCTGTGTCTTGTGGACACAGTGGTCGCAGTGGTGACGTACTGCATGCCCCCGGGGGCACGCTAGTGTGCATGTACTAAACGATGTACAGGTACGTTGTTTAGCCTCCAGCTGCCGCCCACCCACAGAACATGTACTGTGGGCAGGCGGTAACTGGTTATGTGAAGTTCTAAAAATAACAGACTTACTGGCAGGATCCACAGGTAATGAAACTGTTACAATGAATGGACTCAGAAAAACAAAGACTAATCCTGGTGATAGACTGCATCTTGCATGTCATTTTTGATTTTGGCCATAGTTCCACTTTAACAAGGGTACTCACAAGTTACACACATATAGTGCAGTCATGCACCTTTCCTATCAAGATAATGATGCACTGCAAGTATTTTATTCCTGCCTGAGAATAATTCTGCTCATTATTAACATAATTTAAATAATGGCAGTTTAGTCATATTGATTTATCCATTCACTTGTCAAACCTTGCACAATGTAATGTAACACAAAGTACTCTTATTGAATTAAACAACTTGTCTACGTGTAAGCGATACCATCGTAAAAGTGCTGAATTTGGAAAAATGAAACTGTTGCATATCTAATAAGAAAATGAAAAATCTGTAGTAAATTCAACATAAAGCGGCAAAGGAGCTAAATAAATTAGACCCAAAAGGCAAGCATTACTACCAAGCAGCTTCTTAGAAGAACATAGCATTTACTAATATACCTACATTTATTTTATACTGGGAATATGCCATATAGCAAGCAATGTAAGCATGGTTATGATCTCCATCTTGGTAATGGTTTTCAGTTTGTTCCAGTTTATACTTTGACCCTGTGTACTTGTATGGAAAGTGTGGTAGGAGCATAAAAAGATGTAATTTTCATTTAGTGAACATGTCACATATTACTCAACTATGGCATACATAGACTGCCAGAGGCTCCTATACAAAAAAAAAACAGTCCTTTGATGCTCATTGTTGCTTCACATACACACTATATTGCCAAAAGTATTGGGACACCCCTCCAAACCATTGGATTCAGGTGTTCCAGTTATCTCTGTGGCCACAGGAGTATAAAGTGAAGCACATAGGTATGCAGACTGCGTCTACAAACATTTGTGAAAGAATGGGTCGCTCTCAGGAGCTCAGTGAATTCAAGTGTGGTACCATGATAGATTTCCGCCTGTCCAATAAGTCCATCCGTGACATTTCCTTGCTACTAAATATTCCACATTCAACTGTTTAGTTGTATTATAACAAACTGGAAGCAGTTGAGAACAAGAGCAACTCAGCAACGAAGTGGTAGGCCATGTAAAATGACAGAGTGGAGTCAGCACATGCTGAAGTGCACAGTGCGCAGAAGTTGCCAACTGTCTGCAGAGTCAATAGCTAAAGCCCTCCAAACTTCTTGTGGCCTTCAGATTAGCACAACAGTGCATAGAGAACTTCATGGAATGGGTTTCCATGGCCAAGCAGCTTCATCCAATCCTTGCATCACCAAGTGCAATGCATTGTGTCGGATGCAGTGGTGTAAAGCAAGCCGCCACTGGACTCTAGAGCAGTGGAGACGTGTTCTCTGGAGTGACAAATCACGCTTCTCTGTCTGCCAATTCGATGGACGTGTCTGGGTTTGGCAGTTGCCAGAAAAACGGTACTTGCCTGACTGCATTTTGCCAAGTGTAAATTTTGGTGGAGGGGGGATTATGGTGTGGGGTTGTGTTTCAGGGGTTGGGCTTGGCCGTTTACTTCCAGTGAAGGGAACTCTTAAGACATCAGCATATCAAAACATTTTGGAGAATTTCATGCTCCCAACTTTGTGGGAACAGTTTGGGGATGGCCCCTTCCTGTGCCAAAATGACTGCGCACCAGTGCACAAAGCAAGGTCCATAACGACATGGATGAGTTAGTTTGGGTTGGATGAACTTGACTGGCCTGCACAGAGTCCTGACCCCAGCCCAATAGAACACCTTTGGGATGAATTAGAGCGGAGACTGCGAGCCAGGACTTCTTGTCCGACATCAGTGCCTGACCTCACAAATGCACTTCTGGAAGAATGGTCAGACATTCCCATAGACATACTCCTAAACCTTGTGGACAGCCTTTCCAGAAGAGTTGAAGCTGTTATAGCTGCAAAGGGTGGGCCAACTCAATATTGAACCCTACGGACTAAGACTGGCGTCCTTATACTTTTTGCAATATAGTGTATATGAATCCTTTGCTGGTATGGGGCCCACTTTGCTAGACCTCTTCTTTAGCAAGAGTTTTAAAGAAACCAGCAGCATTGTGGCCTTGCATACTACATCTTATTATTGACTATAATTTTCTGTGACCAGCACATATTGCTTCAACCAAATCCCATGGCATGTAAAGAGGTTTCCAGATAGCAGCAGAGGAAGGGAGGGTTTTTTTTTTCCATCTTTATGACTCCCTGAAAAGTAGTATGTGTGAATACGGCCTTCTGTGCAAGAGCAAAAACAGAATATACATCTTTAAGAATCATACTTACTGTACGCACCCTTTAAGAGTAACCCCCCATTTGCTGAGAAAAAAAACATTCTCCTCTGGATGATCTATGTACATCGCAGGGATTTTAACAAACTTTGTTGCAGACTCCTTCCTTCCTGAAGAAATAGCTGTTTGTCTGTGTCCATTTGCAAAGTGAATGTCAATGAGAGTAACTTTAACATCATTAATCAACTGCTGCACTTGTAGTGTTCTAATGAGGACCATGGCAGAGTCTGAATCCCTGTAGATTTTATTTCCCTTTGGGAGTATCTCATAATTTTTGTTGCAGAGGATGCCCAAAATATGGCCTGTATCTTAGTGCAGACTTCTGGGAAAATCAGTAAGCCAATCACACAAGCAGATTTAATTTCTGGGGGGGTCGGTACACCATCTATGTACGGAATGCCTCCAGGTTGACATATTTTACTAACATTCATTTACAATATGACTTGTGTAGCAATTGTATATGCTATATTATTTTTTTTTTTTGCTTTTTTTTCCCGTGAAAGAGGAGTTTCCCTTTAAATGAAAGCTCTAGAAATAATATCTGGAAGGGACTGTAGAAGGTAAATGTAAACTGTTAATTATACTTACATCCTTGCTGCCCTTTCTCCTGGTACAGTAGCACCAATACTGGAATCAGAGTGTGGTGGTACCTTTAGCTCAATGATTTCCGCTTGTGCGCTGTCTACTCCCTACTGTTGTGACAATAGAAGTCTATGTGGCAGCTGTTTCCAGGGACCAGACGCAGAAAGCACGCAGACCATAAACACTGACCTGATGGTACTACTGCTCTCCTAAAGCATTTCTGGGAGAGCTGGATCTCAGAAAGGACAGCGCAGAGGTAAGTATAATTAACACATAAATCCTGCTGTCCTTTTCAAATATAATTCCTGGCGCTCTCATTTAAAGATTCAAAAGCATTTATTCAAAGCGAGCAGAATGACTGACGGAATAACTCTTATTTACAGGTGAATTGCCACTGGTGAATTCTATGACAGATACAAAATGTTGCACTTGTAACTGTCAGCCTACTCTGCAGGCCATTCTTCAGGAGCTCAAAGCAATGAGGAAGTTTATGCAAGTACAAGCAGGTATGTTACACTATACTAACACAACAGTGTTGATGTGAAGACATCTTCATTTAAAGGACAATGTGGTTTTTTTTACATATTTGACAATGCAAAGTGATTGAAGACTTGTTAAAAGCAGTAGCAGATGGCAATCAATCCGGTTTTAGATAACTGCACTCAATCTAGAGAAGAAATGATGTTTTGTCATTTGGTTTTTGTACCACTGTATTTATTATGTCTGGCTTAGTACAAAAATTGAATTCCTTAAATTGAACCTGTGCTTTGGCAATGGCCAAGTTCTCTAATTTATCACCTTTCCCATTTTTGCATACTTGCCTTCCTTTTGCACCCCAGCTGCTCTGAATGGCTGTCAAAGGGTAGGTAGCCCTATGGAAGGTCATGCAACCTTAAAGCTTAAGTCTAAGTCCACACTTGTGCAGCTCTGTGAGCCGCATTTTGCGTGGGCGCTGCAGCCAAATCAACTTTTCTGAAATCACGGCCCACAAGTGCAGTGCTGTTCCCAGTGCAGAGAAACCATGCTGTGGTTTCCAGTGCCTGGGGGTGCCATTAGGACTAAAGGCACCCCCTTGCCTCTCCTAAACTCATTTTTTGCCTGCGGGTGGTTGCAGGTGTGGAAACAGGTGGAGCCCCTCAGTGGCAAACACCCTCTCAAATGTGTAAACCTAGCTTTAATGAACTCTACATTCCAGGTGCATCAAAAGAAAAAGTGTTCCATGTCTTACATTTTGACATGTCTAACAGTTTGTTTTCTTTCTTAATCAGCCACAGCTTGGGTAGAAAAGGCTGTCTCTTTCCAGCATTCTACAATGTGGGACCCTTGATATTTGTGGGGAAGCAGTAATCACTTTGCAGAGGTCCTATACACTGTTTTGTTATGTTTTTTGTGTGTGTTGTTATATTTTTGGGGGTTGTATTTGAAATGTGCAAAGAGAGATCACACAAATACTTATAGGTATAACATTTAAAAAAAAAAGTAACGACAGATAAAGATGACAAATATTAGAAAATATAACAAGAAATACTTAACTAAAAATGTTGTTTCCACTCAGGGTTCCTCCATTACAGGTATACCTCGGTTTACGAATGTAATGCGTTCTCCAGGACGTTTTGTAAACCAAAACGCAGTTTCCCATAGGAATGCATTGAAAACCAATTAATCCATTCCAGAGGTCAGAAAAAAGTAAAAAAAAGTCACTGTCACTATAGATCAGTGCTGGTTTTTAAATGTAATTACAGGCTTTTTTTTTTCTTCACTGTAGCTCACAGAATCAGCTGTCACTTTCCCCCCAGCTAAAGGCAAGAAAGTTTCCTTTTAGTTTATTTCGGGTACCCGCTCCCCAAAGGTGATGGGGGGGCTAAGCGATTGGAAGCAGAAGTTGTCCCCCCCCCCCCCCGTAGTCTTCTGGAACTCATGACAAGTTCCAGAAGACTACGGGGCCATTCACAAAGTGCAGCGCTTCTTGCGCATGCAGTGGGCACCTGTTTGTGAAGCCAAAAGCTGTCACAGCCGGGTGCCCACACTAACGATGCCGGCGCCAGGGAGAGAAGACGGGCGGTGAAACCAGCTGTGGTGAGGACACTGCTGGACCAAGGGACATGTAAGCGGCTGTATTGTAAAAGTCAGCAGCCACAGTTTTTGTAGCTGCTGACTTTTTTTTTTTTTTTTCATCTGGAACTCCGCTTTAACCATCAGTACAGAATCACTGACTTGGAATAAAGATGCAGCAAGTTTAGTCAGAGAAAGCTCAGAATTCCTTATTTGCATACTTTTTAAAGGTTATTGGCACAAAAGTGTAGACATAGAACAACATAACATTCGGGGAACTAGCATTATTACAAGGAGAGGCCATCAATGGCAGTCTACTTGGCCCCTCTGTACAAGTTTCATTTAATTACAGATAGCGATTTTTTATGTGTACTCAATTCATTATCACAAGAAACATCCTGCAGGTTTGAGCAGCAATCGCTATCTCCGGTTTTTGATTATTTTTCAGTCTCTTGTTTAGTAGATATATTTCTCAGCATAAGATCAATATTGCTGAAAACCAGGGAGAAAGCTATTCCAAAAAAAACAACTTGTGGAAAGTATGTACCTTATTAGAGTTACAAGATTTGTAACTCTCATATTCTAATAACCTCAATGCAAGTAAACCAATTTGCAATAAAGTCAGGCATATCTCCGAAAAGGTCCAGGGACTGCATCAAGGCCAAACAATAATAAGGTGTTTGTCAGAAAAAAATATGTCTGGTACCCTGGCAACAAATGCTCCTTGAGCTTGACTGCATATTGCTTGTTATGGTGTCCAGTATTAAATCAAATGAATCAGGAGTGTGCAGTGATTATATTAACTCCATTAGAACTGCTGGTACAGTTCGGATTTAACAGACGGATAACTGCATTTTTGACTTTTGAAATGTAGTTTTCTTCCTTTTTGTGTCTTTTTCATTTCACAGATCATACTAATACTGACACCTGCCTGTCCTTACAAGTGGTGATCTGGCCAGTAACACGCTTCCTGTATAAGGGCTTATTTACATTGCTTTGCCCTCTGAAGGGTAATCCACAGTGGATTGTCTTTCAGAGGGTGTTTGACCAGTGTTGAGGAGGCGTTATGTTGCCTCCTTACTGCTTGTTTTAACTGCTAAAAACTTGTACCACCACACTGCAACTGCATGCATTGCACATGGTAGTGATTGTGGCATTGCCCTATACAGTTGAAACGGGGGATAACTTTTGCTGCAGTACATGTACACTCCGTCTGCTGCCTTTTGTAAGCCTTTTCTTAAAAGGAGTGAAAAAAGTGGCTCAATCATTGCAATATATTATATTTTTGTTTTTTGTTTTAGTACCACTTTAAACCAGGGCTCGACAAATCCCAAGTGCCAGGTCGCCATGGCAACTAGAAATTGCATCCTGGTGCCCGGGTTCACACACTGTCTTATGGGAGCTTGCACCTCATAGACTTCAATGGGAACTCGCACCCTATAGACTTCAATGGGAACTCACGCCCCATAGACTTCAATGGGAACTCGTGCTCCATAGACTTCAATGGGAACTCGAGCCCCATAAATTTCAATGGGAGCTCGCACCCCATAGACTTCAATAGGAACTCGTACCCCATAGACATTAATGGGAAATCGCATCGCATAGACTTCAATGGGAAATCACATCCCTTAGACTTCAATGGGAAATCATGCCCTATAGACTTCAATGGGAAATCACGTCCCATAGACTTCAATGAGAAATCATGCCACATAGTCATTAATGGGAAATCGTGCCCCATAGACTTCAGTGGGAAATGGCCCCCATTTTTTAAAGCGAAAATGCATTCCACAGACTTCAATGTGAAAATGCCTCCCATTGACTTCAATGGGAAAATGCCTCCCATAGACTTTAATGTGAAAACGCCTCCCTTAGACTTCAATGCAAAAATGCCTCCCATTGACTTCAATGCAAAAACTCCTGTTAATAGCAATCTTATCTGAACACTTATCTCCACATGCCTACCAGTCCTTAAAAGTGGTGGTCTGGCCAGTAACACACTGGATACAAAAACATTTCAAAGGCTTTATCAATGCCTAGAAGCAGAGTGAAGTCTATTATTAAGAAGTGGAAGGTATTTGGGACAACACAGACCCTCCCTGAATCAGGACGTCACTCCAAACTGGATGAAAGAGCCAGGAGGAAACTGGTCAGAGAGGCTACCAAGGGGCCTACAGCAACTCTGAAGCAGTTGCAGGAATTTATGACAAAGAGTGGTCATTGTGTGCATATGACAATGATATCACAAATTCTCCACAAATGTGGCTTGTATGTGAGGGTTGCAACAAAAAAGCCACTCCTCAAGAAATGCCACATACAGTCACGACTGAGCCTTACCAAAACGCACCTTGAAGATTCTGAGGCCTCATAGAAAAAAGCTGTTCTGGTCAGATAAGGCTAATATTTCATTATTTGTCCTCAACACCAACTGATATGTCTGGTAGAAATCCAATACAGCTCACCATCCAAATAGCACAATTCCTACAGTAAAGCATGGAGGTGGGAATATCCTGTAATGGGGGTGTTTCTCTGCAGCAGGGACTGGAGCACTTGTCAGGAAAGAAGGAAATGAATGGGGCAAAATACCTTCAAATTCTTGAGGAGAATCTGCTGCCCTCTGACAGAAAGTTGTCAATGGGAAGAAGGTTTACCTTCCAACATGATAATGACCCAAAGCACACAACAAAAATGACTGCACGGTGGCTGAAGAAGAAAAGGGTGAATGTCATTGCATTGCCTAGTCAGAGCCCAGACTTAAACCCCATTGAAAATCTGTGGAATGACCTGAAGACAGCAGTCCACAAACATCACCATCAAACTGAACTGAACTTGAGTAGAGAAGAGCAGGCAAACATTGCAAAGTCTAGATGTGCAAAGTTAGTAGAGACATATACCAACAGACTAAAGGCTGAAATTAAAGCAAAAGGTGGTTCAGGAAAATACTGACACAAGGGGGTGATCCTTTTTCCAACTTAGTGAATTCTGTTTTTGAATTTTTTTTTCTCTGACATGTTGGTGTTATATCTTTCACTTGGATGTTGTAAGTTGCACTGAGTAAATACGGCTGGATAAAACAAAAACTGTATATAAGAGTGTTGCTGGTCAGATCACCAGGGGAAAATAAATGAAAAACAGCCATAAAAATGAATGCAGTCACCACATTTAAGGACTAGTATATGCAATATATAACATTTCTTTTTGGATTTAGATATGCTTTGAGGTTAGAAAACCTTGTCCGATCGCTATTAATTTCCCTGAGATAAGCTGACACATTTCAGATTCAAGTGTTCTATGATAAAACGAGAGTTGCAGAAATTGGTTGCAGTGTAACAGGAGCTAATTAATAAATGGGCATTATATGTCAGTATGCCTTATAACCAGGAAGCAGACAATACATTTCAAACGCTCATTCTCCAGCTTCCTTGAAAGCTTTTGACAGTTGCTGTGTAAAAATAAA